AATAGTATATACAGTCAACTCTCGCTATTACGGACACCCTCGGGACCGTAACTTAGTGTCTTAATAAAGAGAGTTATTTTCAGTCATTTCTTTGCATTTTTTTTTTTTTTGCTATGGATTCATTTCCTGTCCGAAATATTGAGGTGTCCATGAAATTAAGGTGTCCGTAAGGCGAGAGTTGACTGTACTGCTATTCATAAACCGTGATTGAAGCGATCTTTAACTATATTGCACATTATAAAACTTATTAATAATGCATAAGCTATTGCTCAAATATTGGAGCAATAGCTTATGCATTATTAATAAGTTTTATAAGTATACAACACGGCCGCTCATGTTGCAAACTATACTTATAAAATTTTTGATATATAACGCGCGCTCTGATTGGCTGACAACCCTGTTTATATCAAAGGGCAGAGGCTTACCGGCAAAATTTATTTTTCGCTCGAAAAGTTGTTTAAAAGAACTGTAAAACGGCCGCTTGTGTCTCTGTCCTCTGATATAAACACGGTGGGAGATGAAAAGGTTGTTTCTCTCGTGTTTTTCAACTCCCACCGTGTTTATACCAGAGGACAGAGACACGCGAGCTGTTTTGATATTTCTTAATCATTGCATATATGTTTTGGCTCACGTCAGCACCCTATTCATTAGGGGAGGAACAGGCTGCTAAAAAAGACTAGGCATTCTACAAGATTCCTACTTAGTGCAATAAACTCAAAATCATTGAATCATTATTACCTAATATTAATAGACTTCAAAAGCCCTCAGCTCTCACCCAAACACTCCTCCCTCAAAAATCCCACTTAATAAAAAGCTGGGAATTGCTACTTTGAAGGCTTTGGCATGAGATATACGGTGACTCCTCAACAGCAAAAAGCTACATTCTGCACATTCACTATAAATGTCATGTGAAGTTTACAAAAGAACAGTTTACTTTGGTCACATTTAATTATCCATTTTTCTTTTGACATGCGCACATTTCAAATGCTGGTATTTGTGGCTTTTGACCGAACATCTCGGCAAAAATGTGATGTTAATTAGAACGTAAAAATATGCGTCACATGGCTAATCACGTGATTATAGAAATAGGAAGCACCTGGATGGAGATAAAACAACCAAAACGAAAACAGCTCATTTAGTAAGTGTCAAAGTATCCAAAGT